ACAAGGAAGACCAGTTGATACTACTATTCTTCAAAGTTATACACCAACCACAAAGCCAAAAATGAGGAAATTGAAGATTTTTACCAATTTCTACAATCTGAAATTGACCAAACATGCAATCAAGATGTATTGATTATCAATGATGACTGGAATGCAAAAGTTGGAAACAAAGAAGAATCACCGGTAGTTGGAAAATATGGCCTTGGTAATAGAAATAATAATGGAGATCGCATGATAGAATTTTGCAGGACCAATGACATTCACTGCAATACCATCTTTCAACAAAACAAACAATGGCTGTATATGCGGACTTCACTAGATGGAGTACACAGGAATCAGATTGACAACATCTGTGGAAAGAGACGATGGAGAAGCTCGGTATCTTCAGCCAAAACAAGGCCAGGAGCTGATTGTGGAACAAACCATCAGTTGCTCACATGCAAGTTCAAGATGAAGTTGAAGACAATTAAAACAAGTCCACGGGAGCCAAAATATGACCTTGATTATATCCTTCCTGAATTTAGAGACCATCTAAAGAACAGATTTGCTGCATAGAACACCAATGAATGAAAACCAGAGAAACGTGGGATGACATCAAGAACATCATCCATGAAGAAAGAGGTCATTAAAAAGACAGAAAAGGAAAAAAAGACCAAAACAGGTGTCAGAAGAGACTCTGAAACTTGCCCTTAAATGGAAGTAGCTAAAGCAAATGGAAGAAATGACAAGATAAAAGAGCGGAACAGAAGACTTCAAAGAGCAGCTCCAGAAGACAAAATCAATTATCATAATGAAATGTGCAAACAGTTGGAGTTAGAAAACCAAAAGGGAAGAACACGCTTGGCATTTCTCAAGTTGAAAGAACTGAAGAAATAATTCAAGCTTCGAGTTGTAATACTGATAGATTCTATGGGCAAAATATTGAATGAAGCAGGAAACATCAAAATAAGATGGAAGGAATACACAGAATCACTGTACCAACAAGAATTGGTAGATCTTCATCCATTTCAGGAGGTGGCATATGATCAAGAACCAATGGTACTGAAGGAAGAAGTTGAAACTGCACTGAAGGAATTGTCAAAGAACAAGGAATTGACAAAATACCCATTGAGATGTTTCAACAAACAGATGCTGCACTAGAGGCTCTCACTTGTCTATGCCAAAAATTTGGAAGACAGCTAGCTATCTGGCCAACTGACTGGAAAAGATCCTATCTGTACCCATTCCAAAGAAAATGATCCCACATAATGTGGAAATTATGGAACAATATCATTAATATCACATGCAAGTAAAATCTTACTGAAGATAATTCAAAAACGGTTGTAGCAGTATATTGACAGAAAACTTCCAGAAATGCAAGCTGGATTCAGAAGAGGATGTGGGATGAAGGATATCACTGTGATATCAGATGGATCTTGGCTGAAAGCAAAGAATACCAGAAGGATGTTTACTTGTGTTTTACTGACTATGCAAAAGCATTTGATTGTGTGGATCATAACAAATTATGGATAACATTAACAAGAATGGAAATTCCAGAACACTTACTTGATTGTGCTCATCAGGAACCTGTACAAAGACCAGGAGGCTGTCATTTGAACAGAACAGGGGATACTGCATGGTTTAAAATCAGGAAGGGAGTGTGTCAGGGTTGTATCTTTTCACCATACTTATTCAGTCTGTATGCTGAACAAATAATATGAAAAGCTGGACTTATGAAGAAGAACATGGCATCAAGATTAGAAGAAGACTCATTAACAACCTGTGACATGCAGACGATACAACTTTGCTTGCTGGAAGTGAGGATGACTTGAAGCACTTACTGATAAAGACTAAAGACTTCAGTCTGCAGTATGGATTACATCTCAACACAAAGAAAACAAAAATCCTCATAACTGGGCTAATAAACAGCAACACAATAAATGGAGAAAAGATTAAAGTTGTTAAAGATTTCCTGTTACTTGGTTCCACAATCAACACCAATGGAAGCAGCAGTCAAGAAATCAGATGATGTATTGCATTGGGTAAATCTGCTGCAAAAGAACTCTTTAAAGTGCTGAAGAACAAAGATGTCTCTTTGAAGACTAAGGTGTGTCTAACTCAAGCCATGGTATTTTCAATTGCCTCATATGCATGTGAGAGCTGGATGACGAACAAGGAAGAATAAAGAAAAGTTGATGTTTTTGAGTTGTGGTATTGGCAAAGAATACAGAAAGCCCTGTGGATTGCCAAAAGAAAGAACAAATCTGTCCTGGAAGAAGTATAGCTGGAATGTTCCTTGGAACCGAGAATGGCCAGACTCCATCTCACCTACTTTGGTCATGTTGTCAGAAGGGACCATTCCCTGGAGAAGAATATCATTCTTCGTAAAGTTGAGGGTCAGTGAAGAAGGGGAAGGCCCTCAATGAGATAGACTGACATAATGGCTGTAATGATGGGCTCAGGTATAGCAAGGATTGTAAGGGAGGCACAGGGTTGGGCAGTGTTTTGTTCTGTTATCCACAGGGTCACTGTGAGTCAGAGCTGACTCGACGGCAACTAACAACAACAGTAAACTAATACAGACTTACATACAGTTTTTCTTCTTTAAAATCAATTAATAAATAAAATGAATACTCACAGCCACTGAGTTGATTTTACTTATAGTCACCCCTCCTTGGGTTTCCAAGGTGGTATCTCTATGGAAGCAGATTTCCCAATCTTCCTTCCGGTAAGTGGCTGGTGGGTTTGAACTGCCAGCCTTCAGGTTAGCAGTCAAATGCCTTAGGCACTATGCCACCAGAGCTCCATTAACCATTAAATACCAAAAAACAAACTCACTGCCATCGAGTCAGATCTGACTCATAGGGACCCCTCCTTGGGTTTCCAAGGCAGTATCTGTATGGAAGGAGCTCTGGTAGCATAGTGCCTAAGGCCATCTGACTGCTAACCAGAGGGATGGTTGTTCAAACCCACCAGCCACTCCTTGGAAGGAAGATTGGGCGATCTACTTCCGTACTGTCTCAGATACTGTCTCAGAAACCCAAGGAGGGGTCAATATGAGTCGGATCCGATTCAACAGTAGTGAGTTTGGTTTTTGGTTGGTATCTCCACAGAAGGAGACTCCCCAACCTTCCTTCCGAGGAGTGCCTGGTGAGTTTGAACTTCCAGCCTTCTGGATAGCAGTCAAATGCCTTTGGCACTACACCACCAAAGATCGTAGATTTGCTAAGCAAAGGCAATCCATAAAAAAAAAAAGATACTAATCTATAGCACTGACGTAGAAAAACAAAAAATGCTAATCTAGTCATTAAAGATGATAGTTCAAAACAAACAGCTTAAAAAAAACCACAAACTTTTACTGCAATTTTATTTTACTAATAAATTTTCAGGAGCTCTGGTAGCGTAGTGCCTAAGGCACTTGACCGCTAACCAGAGGCTGGTGCCTGTTACTTGGATCCACAATCAACACCAATGGAAGCAGCAGTCAAGATATCAAACCCACCAGCCACTCCTCGGAAGGAAGGTTGGGCAATCTACTTCCTAGTGATACTGCCTCGGAAACCCAAGGAGGGGTCACTATGAGTTGGGTCTGACTCGATGGCAAATAACAACAACAACAACAATAATAAATTATCAGAGATAGAACACTTGGTAATCTGTAAATTTAACCTAAGAAGTCATATTAAATCAGAAAAAAAAACCCACATATTCTTAAGGTATTTACTTTTTAAACTTATTTCCCCCTTCCTCCAGGACCTGGTAACCAATTATCAAAGGATTTACCTTCTGTAGATGTATCATGTAAGTGGGATCTTACAGTATTTATCCTTTTACATTTGCCATTTCACTGTGCACAATGTTTTCAAGGTTCATCTATGTGGTGGCATGTACCAAAATTTCATTTCTTTTTATGGTTGAATAATATTCCATTGCCTATACATACCATATTTTATTTATCCATTCATCAGTAGATGGACACTTGGGTTGTTTCCACTTTTTGGCTGTTGTGAATAATGCTGCTATGAACATTGGTGTTAATATGTTTGAGTCTCTTGAGTATATACTGAAGATCAAATTGCTGTGTCCTATGGTAACTCTATGTTCAACTTTCTGAGGTATTGTGAAACTGTTTTCCACAGTGGCTGTAACATTTTACAATCCCACCAGCAGTTCACTAAGAATTCCAGTTTCTCCACATCTTTGTCAACTCGTTATCTTCTGTATTTTAAATAATAGCAATCTTAGCTGATGTTAAGTGTTATCTTATTATGGCTTTGATTTGCATTTCCCTAAGAACAAATAATATGGAACATTTTTTCATGTATCATTTACTTTTAAAAACAATGAGTTCATTAATCTTATTTAAAAATAAAAATCCATTGTAATCTAGCCTGGAAAACCAATGTTCACCTCTTTCCTTAAAACACCTCAGAGTAAGTTATCCTTTGGAGCAAACAAAAGACAGAAATATTTAACTGCTAATGTATGTAAATATGTAAGAGGTACTTTAGTTCCAAGAAAAGTTTCCAATAGAAATGTGGCTAGAGGCCAAATCATGACTGCATATGGAAATAATGAATTAGCTTCCTGCTGTCACAGACATGCATTGCTACTACTTATAACTACTGGCCCACAGGTATTTTATCTCATCTTCCCCAAGGGCTTCTGCATTAATAAGTGGAATAAGACCATACTGTAGATTGCTAAATGCCAAGCAATTGGGAAAAACTTTTTTCTTCTCTCTCACACACACACACACACACACACACACACACCTTCCTCCCTCTCTCCAAGCTCAGTACAAAGGAAAAAAAGCATAAGGAACAACATAAATAATTCCACGAAAGCAAAATTTATAGAGGCATTAAAACAATAAACAGAGCTCAGTAGAGTTCTGTGCACAATGACTATTTTCCAAATTTCAAATTCCAGTATTATCAATGAGACCTCTGGGCATAACCATTAAATTAAAAACAAACAAACAAACAAAAAGGATAGAAAACAAGCAAAAAGTCACTTACTATGTATCATCTTCAAGTCACATAATTGTGTACTTAATAGATCTTCTCTTATGATAGCTTTTTTTCTGTAGATATCAATAAAAAAAAAGGTGCAATAATTAAGAAAAACTATCTGTTGCTTATTGATTTTCAATTCATTGCTTATCAAAAAGAAATCTATTATACACTAAATTTTATTAACTATCTTTAAAATCTGATAAATGATTTAAGTAACATTCTAAAAGACTCCTATAAGATATCAGAATGTCAAGCTACAAATTTTAATGTATACTGAACTATAGCATCTTAGTCTTTAAATGATAATCTTATTGGTTGATCTTGACTGGCTAGAAGAGAGATGGGCAGATATTACTTGCTTTCCAAGGGCTATTAAGAATCTGTTGCAAAGACAGCATGACGAGTTGTCATTCTCTACTCCAATGACTTAACATAGAAGTTTACTGCCAAAACACAAAATACTATCCCAATCCCTTCTCTGGAACTGGCAAAAATTATCAGAAAGGGGAAGTGTAAGGATTTTAGTACTTTAAAAGGAAAAGGCAAAATGGAATGAGTCTTGTCTCATGCTAGGGAGACCAGACACAAGCAGTGAACAGAAGACTGAATGACAGGAAATGCTAAAAACATTCATAAGACTCCAAAAACTATGTCTATAAACATCCCACAGTTGCCAAGAGAATTTTTCACCTTGGGAGAAATCATTAAACATCTAACTCAGGGGGTAAAAGAGAGCTTATATTTTGCATCAGCTATTTCCCCACAAATTCCTGAGAAAAACCAGTTAGACATGTGAACCAACTCAGCTGTACTAGACCCAATACAGATTTGAGTCTCATAGGTCATACAGTAATAACCAATGCACCCTCAGCAAGAGCCAAGAGAATTGGTAATTCTGAGTACAAAAATGATAACCATGACAGCCAGTAGAAGAAGCTGTAACAAGAATGAAGCTAGCAAAAGGATTTCTTCTTTTACCTAAGACAAGACTTCTAGTACCTACTATGCAAACAAATAGAAATATGACCAAAAATGACTCAGTAATAGTTAATAATAAAATTTTAGTAAAATCCATGGCATAACACACTACATAAAACATTGTTCCACCTCCTACTTCGGTGAGTAGTGACTGGGATCTTAAAAGCTTACAAGCAGCCATCTAGATGCAACGATGGGTCTTGCTTCATCCAGAGCAAAGAAGAATTAAGAAAACGTAGATACATGGAAACAATTAGTCCAAGAGACTGGTACCCCATGCGATCTTTAGCCTGTATGACTATGAAACCAGAAGAACTAGATGGTACCCGGCTACCACTGTCAACCACTTGGAGGAGGATATATGTAGGAGATCCTGGACAGAGTGGGAGAACAATGTGGAACAAAACTACAAATAATTTGGGGAAAAAAAAAAAGAGAGAGACCAGGTTTGTTGGTCTGACAGAGCTTAGTGGAACCACTGAGACTATGATCCCTAGCTGCCCTTCAGGTCTGGAATTGAACCCACACCTATGGCTTCTAGCCAAACAAAAGGCAGGCATATGAGGTGAACATTTACACTAGGCAGATAAACTCCTTGGAGAAAACAATCATGGGAGAATAGAAGGTCTGTGTATGCACAGGGACATAGCTCAGGGGGCAGAAGTGCATGGAGGGAAGGACACAGGGAAGAGGTAGTTGCATTGTGATTTAAAAGCTTCACATGCAGCAAGTGAAGGTGACTGTGATGAAGAATTTCTTACAAGTTAGGTGTTGGTTCAGTTGCTTCACAGTGAGGGCATATTTATATATGCTGTTGCATTGTGGTAAATTGTACTCAATGTCATGAGACAAAGTGTACATGAACTGCTGTATGGAAACTGAATTTGCTCTGTAAACTTTCACCCAAATCACAATTAAAAAAAAAATAGTAAAATTTATTCTAATCAGTTCTTATTAACTGTGGGGCTCAAGGGAATAGACAGATGTTCCATAAATACCTTGAAATCATGCAAAATTCCATGTTCATAAACATGCTTATTTTTGCAGCAGAAAGAGGTTTGTAGCTTTCTTCAGATTCTTAGAAGTCCATAACTCCCTAAAAGTTAAGGTCTAAGGACCTACAGTTTAAGAAATTAGTGGTAGGGCTCAATAAATATCAAGGTCTTTTGTCAACTGTTTTAGTAATGAAATGAATTTACTCTCTTAAGAAATTAGTATTCTGATGAAATACACTAAAGAATAATATAGAATTTATTATGAAGATGAAAACATATAGAGTTAAAAATACAACTTTTGGACAGCTCTAAATAGATTTTAAATCAAAATAAGCTTGAATTTTAAATGTTTAGAACAAGTTATTTTAAGCATTGATAAATTTCCAGTACAAACAATTACAAACGCCTGACTTATGGACAACTCTTACATGCTCTTTGAGCAGGACTTTGCACTGATTTGAACCTGTTCTGTCACAGCCAACAGAGCAAAACAGGAACAGACCTGAATTTTTACTATCTGGGTGACTCATCACAGCAAACAGAACAGGAAACACTATGGGTCAAAGCTCTGGAACAGAGGACTTAGAAAGCAGCAGTGAGGTCTTTCAGGAGTCTGATATATGAGACTCACTTATTGGCAGGACCACGGAGACAGACAGACAGACAGACACACACACACACACACACATTCAAAGCAGTGTGGTCAGCTGCTATGTTTGATTGGGGCAGTGATGTTTCGGCTCAAGATCTGTTTATATAAATTTGCCCTCACTGTGAAGCAACTGAACCAGCCCCTAATTTCTAAGAAATTCTTCATCACAATCACTGCATGTGCAGGTTTTACATCACTGAAAAGGCTTGAGCCTTTTCTTGCACTAAAACCAATTCCACTGCCACTGAGTCTATTTTGACTCATAGCAACCCTATAGGACTAAGCAGAATTGCCCTTGGAGTTTCAAAGGCTGTAAATCTTTAGAGAAGCAGACTGCCTCATCTTTATCCCATGGAGTAGCAGATGGCTTCAAACCACCAACCTTCTGGTTAGCAACTGAATGCTTTACCCACATGCCATCAGAGCTCCTTTTCTTATATTAAAGAAAAGCTAAATGAGAAACCTAAGCACCTGTTCCAAATGACCTACAAATTCTTAAACACACAGTTAGGAATGGATCTCATTCTTAACCCAGGGAGACTGCCTGTACTAATATTCAATTCAGTTCAACAAATAATTTAAATTCCTATTGAATTGGAGTACTAAACAATGTTTTTCAAAGCAATTATGTTATAAGAGGGCAATGGTTTTAACAATAGCAGTTAAAGATGCAAATCTAAACACCTTCAACATTTTTTGAAAAACATTTGTTAAATAGTCATAGGGAGTGCCTCTTACAACATAAGCTAGCAAAAATAAATAAATAAATAAATGGACAGTTTCAATTATAACTCTCATGAAGAACGCTATGCTCATTAGTTAACTTTCTACTTTTTGTCCACAATAACTACTGCAGTGTTAATCAAAGTGTGGTATGAAGACACATGCTTAACCATTAACTGTTACTGGGTTTTGGTAAGTACAAAAATGAGTAAGAGTTCCGAAATTCTTATAAAAAATTGACACTGCTTTAACATTTTCATTTTAAGTTATAAAAGTTTCAGTCTAAACATGGAAACAAAGTTTCAGTAAAGTGAAACAAAAATCAATTTTCCACCAAAGATGAAGAAGAGTTCAAATTTTATTCCCCTTCCTTAAATGATCAAGTGTGTGCTTTCAAAGAAATAATTAAATATATTTAAACCCTATTTCATAAGAAAAAAAAGTACTTTTTTTCCTATTAACTTCTTGTCATGTTCATTTTGATTCTACTCCCGAATTTCATCACTAACCTTATACAGCTTTTAGAATTTTCATAACAGGAGAGCTGTTTCTTAAAAGAGCTTTCATTTTTCTTGTCTGTTGTTTTTCCTGGCCGTCTTTTTACTTGAACCTGTAAGAAAAGCAAAAGCAATTATTTAGAGGTAGAAGCCAGTATCACAAATGTTAAATGGTCAATTCTCTCATAAAATGATAAAAATTAAAGCTGTCTGGATGAAAAAGAGTAGTCCAAATACATATGCTTTATTTACTCAAGCATGCTAAACTATAAGTTTTTAAGTGTGCTATACGCATCAAAATAGTGAGAGATAGGCATTCAAATACCTTAAGTACATGTGACAGACATATGAGCACAGATTTCTGTGCACAGGTAAGACTGAAAACTAACTTTGAGAAGTCAGAGAAGACTCCAATGAGTAGCTGATTTATAAGCTGGTCTTAAAGAATGAGCAGGAATTTGTCTAAGGAAAAATATTTTAGATGGGAGAAAGAACAGAGTTATGAAATAGCCTCATATGTCTGCAAATAGTGAGAAGCTGATGAAGACAGGGAAGAAGAGAGTAGCAGAATATGAGATTGATGAAATATATTGTTGCTAGGCTATGAAGGATCTTCAATAAGAAAACAGTTCTACAGTCATCAGAGACTACATGGCATTTTCAAATAAGTGAATGAGATGATCAAATTTGGTTTTTAAGATAACTTTGGCAGTGATGTGGAGAATGAACCAGTTAAGAGATTATAAAAGCTAAGACAGCTCTTCAGTACTCTAGATCTGTGATATTCAAGACAATAGTTACTAGCCACATGTGGCCACTGAGCACTGGAAATGTAGCTCATCTGAATGAAGATGTGCTGTAAGTGAAAATGCACACCAGATTTCAAAGACTTAGTACAAAAAATAAAATGTAAATTCTCAACACTTATAAAAAATAGTTATATGCTGAAATAGACAAGATTAAGTAACATATTATTAAAATTAATTTTACCTGTTTCTTTTTACTTTTTTAATGTGACTATTAAAAATGTAAAATTACTTAGTGGCTTGTAGGATACTTCTTTTGGGCAGCACTAGCTTAGATGACAGCATGAAAACCTACAGAGAGGAAAAAGCTGAGGGATGGAAAAGGAACAAGTTAAAGACAATGAGCAGAGAAGGAACAAATTAAAGACAATGAGCAGAGAAGGAACAAATTAAAGACAATAAGCAGAAGGAAGAGGCAAAGAGGAGGGAGAGAGAAAAGGGCAAACTCCCAGAAATTTCTGATCTGGGTGATGAGACTGTGGTATTACTAACAACTGGGGCTTGGAGAGGGGGCTTGGAGAGGATGAGATGAGATGAGTTTTGAATTTGTCCATTCTGACTCGATGGCAATAGGTTTGGTATGATTCGGCCTATTAGGTGGAGCTATGCAGCAAGTAGATGGAAATAAAGGTCTGGTTCTCAGGAAAGAGTTCTGGGCTAGGGACAGAGTTTTAGAAGCCATTCAAATACAGGTAGTACTTAATGCTACTGAAATAGTTGAGACGATTTAGGGAGAGAATCTACCAAAAGAACTAATTGAAGAAAGGAAAATCCTACGAGGAACCTCAATGATTAAGATGGTAAAGCAGATTGTCAAACATCAGGTAAGACAGACAAACATATATACATAACCACAAGAGAAGGATGTCCTGCAAGCCAAAGGAAGTAAAGGGTGGTTAATAACATGGGATCTGGCAGTCAGAAGATTATTCTGTGTCTTAGTGAGGATAGTTTTAATAAAGTGAAATGATAGAGGTAAAAGCTAAATGGGAATTAAGAAGTGAATGAGATTTGAGAAAAGGGAGTAAGCAAATATAGACTCATCCAAGAAGTTTAGGTATAAGGTGGAGAAGGATAAAAAAGTGACAGACTCAAAAGAAGATCAGAGCAAGGTACTAAGAGAATGTGGACGATTTCCCATATGACAAGAAACATCTTTTAAGCCTGACAAAATTAGATTAGCACTGCACCAAACTTTTAAGAAAAATACATAAATAAAACATACATCTTTATTCTAAACAAAAAAACTAAATTTCAATGACGCAACAGAACAAAATTTCAGGGGAAACTATCTTTGGGAACTGTTGTTGTTGTCATGTGCCACTGAGTCCTGGGTTTCCAAGGTGGTATCACTACAGAAGCAGATTGCTCCACCCTCCTTCCAAGGAGTGGCTAGTGGGTTTGAACTGCCTGCTTTCTGGTTAGCAGTCAAGTACCTTAGGCACTACAACTACCAGAGCTCCTTTCTTTGGGAACTAGTTCATGTTAATCTTGAGCAACACAATAATAGAGTCTGGAGAAAAAGAGAGTATGTCGTTCAGATAAGCCATGCTTTAAATTTTGATTAGAACATCACACACTTACATAATGTCATACCTTTTTCCAAGTTACACAATTAAAGTGGAAAAGTTCCCATATGACAAGAAATATCTTTTAAGTCTTTCAGTTACATAAATCATTTTTTATATATGTCATTTTACTTGAATTGCAATCAGGTCTATGCCTTGCATCATCAAGAATTCATGTAGTAAAAATAATATGAAAACAAAATATAAATACCTCCACTGAGAACAATGTTGTTATACACTGGTTCCATCCACTTTCCTATTCACATATATAGCAACCAAGCTGCCATGGACTAATAGTGCTATCTGGGAATAGTTTGTTTCTCCTATTAATGGGATTATGTGTACATATACTACATGTTTTCATTTCTAACTATTTATCATTCATTACTTATTAACAATACTTCAAGAAATCACCTTCCCACACATTTTACTTAACCAGCTCTCCCCTTTTCTTCCTTTACTCATTAAACTCAGGAATGTGTTCCTATTTCTTATTCTTATTTTTTTGTGAGTCAAAAAATGTCAACAAAGATCATGACTCATATCATAAGTAACATCAATGAGATATGTGTGTATACACTTCAAAAAAGTTATGATTAAAAGCACTACAATAAAAATAGACTGAGCAAAAGACCAGGGTCATCTGCTCATGTTACCCTTGAAATTGTGAGAAGTCTCCAACACACCCCTTTATCATTCTCTGATTAAGCTCACTTTCCCTCAAGTACTAGCACTTAAGAAAAACACCATTTTACGTTTAATTTTGTTGCTTTAATATTCTCAACATTTTAACGTTTTCCATAAAAACATAATTTCCAGGTATTGAACAATTTAAATTTTTGTGGGGTTTGGTCATTGAATCCATTTCAAACATTGTTTCAATGGAGTAATGTATTTCATATGCTATCCAACTGATGAGTAAATATTTTTGAAATACAGGAAGTTCTAACATTTTAAAATTTGTTGTTGTTGTTGTTATTTGCCATCAAGTCAGCCCCGACTCACAGCGACTCCTCCTTGGGTTTCCGAGGCAGTATCACTACGGAAGTAGGAATGCCCAACCTTCCTTCCGAGAATTTAAGGATCCTATAATTAAGTCTGGGAGCTCTGGTAGCATAGTGGCTAAAGCACTTGACTGCTAACCAGAAGGCTGGCGGTTCAAACCCACCAGCCACTCCTTGGAAGGAAGGTTGGGCAATCCTACTTCCGTAGTGATACTGCCTCGGAAACCCAAGGAGGGGTCGCTATGAGTCGGGGCCGACTCGACGGCACATAACAACAACAACATAATTAAGTCTAACTGTGAAACTTCTTTTGGAGCATCAGAGATCTAATACATTTTGTGGGAAATCATAAGGTAACCACCATGGATATTCTCTCTTTAGAGGGCAAAGGCAGAAAGGGCCCTAATTTCTGTATCCTTGTTAAAAGGTGGGGAACTTGTCATGCTGAGGAAGAATGATAATCACATAAACCTAAAGTGGAACAATTTTCAGATAGTCTCAGACTAGAAATCTAGTCGAAAGCAAAACTGTCTCAATTAAAGTTATACAGTTCATGTTGCAAAACACAATCTAAGTCTTACCTTAATACAACCTCCCAATGCATTGAATTTAAACACTGCCTGAAAAGGTTTTCGATCAATAGGACATGAAGCCAATGTCTGAAAAAGGATTAACAAACAAATTATAACTTTAAAACTTTCTTTAGAATAGACTGAAGTTAAACTAAACCAAACATACGTATGGTAAGATTTTCACTGTAAGAAGAAAAATCAGAAAAATACTTTTTCCTCCTAATGATAAAAGAGATAAAATACTGTCAACTTGTACCATGCCCAGAGCAAGAAATATTTTAAATTTGCTTCTTTCCACTTAAACATTTACTGAGCACCTAGTACATGCTAGATTAATTAGACTATAATGATGAACAAGAGAGATAACATCTGTTAATACCTGCTGCCCATTTTAGAACAGTATAATGAAGAAACAGTAGGCTGAAACCAGTAACTCTGAGATCAAAAGCTGTTATGCTTAATCATCTGTAAAAGGAATGGCTTGAACAGGCTCCTTACAACTCTTATATCTATGACTTAATAGCCATCTCCCCAAATTAGTTATTTTAGATAATTATATGTACCCATGATAAAAACATTTCAAACATATGAAGAAAATGAAGGATTATCTCAGCTACCCAGATTTCCCCTCCTCACTCAAGCAGTTTCTTGATGTATCTTTTGGACATTGCCAATGCATATACATATAATGTGTCTCTTTTTAATATAATCTATAACATACCACAATTATTTGTATGCTAAATAATTTTACCTTTTTTTCTTTTAATTATGTATCTTAGATTAATCCATATTAGTAATGCAGAGATACTTCATTCTTAACTATAAGTTTGAATTTACATTTCCTTTGAGTAAAGTTGAGCGTATTTTCACACTTTTAAGTGTTATTTGTTATTTTTTTCTTTAAACTGTATTTTTTTGGTGTTCTTTTAAAATAGGATATTGATCTTTTTGAATTTTATATGTAAGCATTCATTACATATTAAGGAAATAGATTCTTTGATCACTTTACTTCTAAATCAACTTATTTATCTTGATATATTTCCTGTATTTAAAAATTATTCTGCATCAATTATAGGGTTTTTCTGGTCATACTATTAAATATTTTTGTAAGAATGGTTTACAGTATTTAAGAAGTCCTGGTGTCACAGTGGTTAATGCACTCAGCTGCTAACCAAACAGTCAGGGGTTCAAACCCACCAGCCACTCCACAAGAGAAAGATGTAAGCAGTCTGCTTCCATAAAGATTTACATCTTTGGAAACTCTATGGAGCAGTTGTATTCTGCCCTACAGGATCACTGAGTTGGAATTAACTTGACAGGAGTGGGTGGGTTTATATTATTTAAATAACTTAAGATGGAGTATGTTTCTACTAGGGTAGGAGGGAAGACTCTCCAGCCTATGAATAAAATGCCAAATGGTAATATATTAAGGATGATAAAAATAGCCATGGTTTTAGCCTCATGATAATTTCCTTCTAAGGGACTCTACAACACAACAACACAATGCACTGCTGTAGAGTTGGATCCAACTCATAGTGACCCCTCCTTGGGTTTCCGAGGCAGTATCACTACGGAAGTAGGTTGCCCACCTTCTTTTGGAGGAGTGGCTGGTGGGTTTGAACCACCAGCCTTCTGATTAGCAGTCAAATGCCTTAGGAACTATGCCACCAGAGCTCCTCTAGATAAGTTATATCATTCCTTAGTGAGAAAACGTTGGGAACTTTTCCTTTCTAGGCTTTGGCATGTATCAAGATAATGTTTATACAATTATAGGTAGAACAGACAACATATGACCCTTGTGCAAGAGTCACTTTGGGAGTAGCCAAAATATAAACTGAGTTACTTTTGACCATTCTGTAACTTTTCTTTTCCTATGTTAAGTACACCTTGATAGAAAAATGCTTTACCACATCTAAATTAGGAAATGTGATCTCACCATATTAAATGGGTTCAGACTAGTAGAAGCCAGCTCAGCTTACTTCCAAGTAATATGGATTTAACATGCTATTACTTTCCTTACAGAAAGCCTGACCTTAAGAAGCTTTGCTGTAAGTAGCACAAAGCTGTCAACATCTTTTAAATAATGCATTGCAAACAGCAATTCTAGTTCAAAGAATTCAACATCCTAACTATTTCTGTGATTATTGTTTATCACATTAGCATTTACTTATGAAATTCCTTATTACTAAGTTATAGTAATACTGCATTTATAATTTAAATAGCAATTAATAGTTCAAAGAATTCAACATAACTATCTCTATGATTATTGTTTATCTATTGGCATTTACCTATGAAATTCCTAGTCTACTAGGTTATAGTAATACTGCATTTATAATTTAAACGACTATCCAATGTTTATTATTTTTCAAAATTTAAAAATTCATTTTATTTCTATTTTAAAGGCAAATTTAAACAAACATTCAGAAATAGAAAAAAAAACAAAAAAAATAAAAATTTGTTTTCTTAAAAACTAGTAAGACAGGTAGAGGCTCTGGATTTATAGCGTAGTTTCAAATGTGTGGGTCTTTGTGTAACCCAGAGCAAGTTACGTAGATAGTCTCTCTGTGCCTCAGTTACCTCATTTGTGAAAATGAGGTTAACAATGCACTTAACTCTGCAGTTTTGAATTAGTTAGTACAAAGCACTTAAAAGATGTGTGGCATATACTAAGTACCGTGTAAGGTCTTCTAAACTTCAACTAGCTTAAATGACTAACAAGGAAAAAACACTTGGTTTATTAACAAAAAATGATAATCTGCAACATGATGTATATACACGTGAAAATCATGAGTCCTTAACTATTTTTTATTGGAATTTGCAACCTTCATGATACATACAGACATTAAAGTATTTCATTTTACTGTTGTATCTATTTCAATTTGTTAAAACTGAGATCCAAAGAAAGCCAGTGTTCAAGAAACTTATCCTGTTATCAGATATACGGAATCTTTCAAAGACCCTGGAATTACATCTTCTCGTCATCTTCATTAAATTTCCTTTGTTGACATCAGCCAAATGGCAGTCTTTCCTTTACAATTTTCAAACTACCATATTTTAACCTGAGCCATTCCATTCTGATCTGTTTCAAATAATGAAGTTTTGAGTAAGATTTCATGTTTTCACTGTATTCCTTAAGTATAACTCCCATAGATTTGTCTAAGATTTCATTTGAAGAAATGACTCCACTGTTATTATAAAAACAAAAAGAAAACAAAAACCCACTGCTATATGTTATGACTACCTATGTTGTTGTTGTTATGTGCCTTTTAGTTGGCCCCGACTCATCGTAACCCCTCCTTGGGTTTCCGAGGCAGTAGAGGCAATATCATTACGGAAGTAGATTGCCCAACCTTCCTTCCGAGGAGTGGCTGGTGGGTTTGAACCACCAGCCTTCTGGTTAGCAGTCACGTGCTTTAGGCACTACGATAATCTTCTAGTTAATGCTTGTTGTTGTTGTTGTTATGTGCCCTCAAGTTGGACCCGACTCATAGCGACCCCTCCGTGGGTTTCCGAGGCGGTATCACTACGAAAGTAGATTGCCCAACCTTCCTTCCGAGGAGTGGCTAATGGGTTTGAACTGCCAGCCTTCTGGTTAGCAGTCAAGTGCCTTAGGCACTATGCTACCAGAGCTCTAGAAAAATAAATTATGAGATTTTTCTTTGGCTCAGACTCAGCCATTAGAAAAATTTCTTAAAATTGAGTTATACTCCCAAGTTAAGGAATGCATAGGTAAGAAAACAAGCTTCCTGTGGCAGACAAAATACCTTTGCTATTGTTATTGAGGAGCAAGGATATCTCCTTGAGGACTAAGGTGCGCCTGACACAAGCCATGATATTTCCAATCACCTTGTATGCATGTGAGAGCTGGACAATGAATAGGGAAGACCGAAGAAGAGTTGATGCTTTTGAGTTGTGGTGCTGGCGAAGAATGCTGAAAGTACCATGGACTGCTAAAAGAACTAACAGATCTGTCCTGGAGGAAGTGCAGCCAGAATGCTCCTTGGAAGCAAGAATGGCCAGACTTCGTCTCACCTATTTTGGTCATGTTGTAAGAAGGGACCATTCCCTGGAGAAGGATGTCATGCTTGGTAGGGTGGAGGGTCGACGAAAGAGGGGGAGGCCTTCAACGAGATGGATTGATACAGTGGCTGCGATGATGGGCTCGAGTATAGCAGGGATTGTGGGGCTGGTGCGGGATCGGGCAGTGTTTCGTTCTGCTGTGCATGGGGTCGCTATGAGTCGGAAACGACTCGACGGCACTTAACAACAACAACATTGTTATTGAGAAGTGATGCTATCTATCCATCAGAAAGGAAACAGAAAAGAAATCCAGTTTACTATGAGTGAAGTCTATGTAGTAAATGTCAATAAAGAGGGACTAAAAGGATAATTTAATGATAAAGAAATAAAAACAGCTTTTTTTTAAAAGTGGACTTTTAATTTCTTAATATATAAGAAAAGTTATAAGGCTACTTTAATAAATACCAAAGTTCAAAGACATCATCATTAAGAGATATTAAAGCATCAAACATGTGATGACCAAATAGTTTTCACAGAAAAATTTTATAAATAGGGGGAAAAAAAAAAAAGCTTGGATTGGCCTGATTTTTAAGGCATTACCAAGGGTATCTCATCCTTTTAACCAGCAGCTATTCTACCCAGAAACTCTCAAAGATATTTTAATTTTCATTTATAAAGTAGAGTTAGTGCCATTAGGAAAAACTAACTTAATTCCTAAATTGTATGGTTTAAAAAAGTTATTTAAAACTAATATAGAAACATTTTTACTAACAAATTAAAAAATGTGATTTTAGTTTTGAAGAACATTATCCCAAATTTCCTGTTTTCCTTATATGCAACAAAAATACTCCAATTATTCACCTGTTTAAATTATTATGACATTCATTTCAATGTTAGAAATATTTAATTAGCTTCATAAAGAAGTTCAATATCATCACTCACTGAACTCTGTGATGCAACTATAAAACAGAAGTTGATCATTGCTTTACAGTGTAATGTGTATTAAAACACAGCATACATTTTTACTGTGAGTACTCTGTACTAAGGTTTATCACTTAAAGAGGCAA